CCGGGGGTCAGCCCGTAGAGGCAGCCCCCTGCCGCCGCCGCCGCCGCCGCCGCCGCCGCCGGCGCCCTTGGCGCGCAGCGCCGCGTTGTGGGCGAGCTTGAACGCGAGCACAAGCACCGCCGGGAGCAGCTCCCTGCAATCCTCTGGGCAAGAGCCCAAGGGCGGCCCCATTCGGTCCAGCCACGCCGCGCGCGCGACGTCCACCCCAGCCTCGGCCTCTGCCTCCGCCGCCGCCGCCGCCGCTTCCGCAGCCGCCTCTGCGGCCGACGGCGAGGCCCGCCGATCACCCTGCCGCCGCTGCTGCTGCTGCTGCTGCTGCTGCTGCTGCTGCTGCTGCTGCTGCCGCCGCTGCTGCTCCTCGTGCCGCTGCTGCTGCTGCTGCTGCTGCTGCTGCTGCTGCTGCTCCTCGTGCCACTGCCGCTCCTGAGGCTTCTGTGGCTCTTGCAGCGGGCACGGCGTCACAGGCTGCTGATCACTGGACGCAGCCTCAGAGGTGCCCACGCCCACCCCTGCGCCCGCGCCCGGCGCCGTCACCCTGCGGCTGTCGCGCCGCGCTGCAGCGCCGTGCCGCGTCGACGCCGCGCCCTTGCCCCCGTCACCCCCGCCGCTGACAGTGATGACCAGACCCGTCTTCCCGCCGCCGCCGCCGCCGCCGCTGGGCGCGCCCGCGGCCCCTGCGCGCCCCGGCGCCGCCGTCCCAGTCGTCCTCGCCTCGGCGGTGGCGGCGGATGCAGAATCCGCGGCAGGGGGCCCCACGTCGGCGCGCTCGATCGGCGCGGCGGGCCCTGCACGCAACTCCTGGTATCCGTCTGGGATCGACGGCGCGCCCGCGCCCGCCGCGGGGGCGCTGCCAGCATCGGCGTCGTCCGCGGTCGAACGAAGCGCACGCCCGTCGACGCCCGCGTCCGCGCCCGTGGCGGGCCGGGCGCCGATGGGCATCTGGGGGCGCCGCAGGACGGCCCAGTCGGAGGGGTTCGAGGAGCTTTGCAGGATCACGAGGAAGTCGGAGAGGTTTGCGAGCGTGAAAGCCAGAGGGCTTTCGTACAGCTGGAGATGGGGAGGGAGGAAGGGGCCGGTGGGCGGGCGGGGGCAGAAATGCCACTGTTTGTCAGGTGATGGGGGCGACAGCGAGGCGCCTGCACGCAATAGGGCCACAGAGGCGGCGGCTTGAGGTGATGACAGCGCAAAGCGAGTGCCCGAGCGGCGCTGCAGGAAGCTTGCTGCTGTGCTCGCGCTTTCCTCAGAGCCGGGCAACGTCTATTCCTAAAGACTAGGCCCCCGCGTGCGCGCCTTTGAGTAGAGGAGGGCAGCCGGGCAACCCTCGAGGGCGCCACTGATGCAGGAGGCGGGCGCCGGCCGCACGCCGTCCGGCACGCGCGCCGCGAGGCCCGCAGAGAGCCGCGCCAGCAGCTCGTGGCGGCTGATGAGCTCCATGAACCCGCGCCGCAGCCGGACCTGCTCCTGCTCCTGCTCCTGCTCCTGCTGCTGCTGCTGCTTCTGCTGCTGCCGCTGTGGCTTATAAACCTCCAGCGGCCCGCCCGGCCGCGCCAGCGCCGCCCGAATGCCCCGACCGGCACCCCCCAGCGCCGGCGGGAGCGCGAGGCACGAGAGGGGGACCAGCACCTGCCTCTCGCGCCACTTGGGAGAGCCGGGGCCCCAAGACGCGTCCCGCAGCCGCGGGTTGAGCAGCCGCGCGACCCCCATGAACACGTGGACTAGGGCGACTGCCTGGATCTCTTCCGACTCGCGCTGACTCAGCAGATCCGGGACCAGGTCCTGCTGTGTCAGGCACCAGAGCCAATGCAGGCTGGGCAGGGCGCCGTGGCTGATGGGCGGCGGGACGGCGGCGGCGGCAGCAGCGGTGGCGGCGCCGGAGGCAGGGGCGGAGCCGCCCTTGGAAACAGCCGCCTCGGCGGCACGCACCGGCAAGGGGCTGCCGCCGCGCGCGCGCCTGCGGCCGCAGCTGCGGCTGCGGGAGCGGCGGCGCTGGCGGCGCCCCGCAGGGCTGCTGGCTAGGCCGCGGCTGCGGCTGCGGCTGCGGCTGCTGCGGCCGTGCCGCTGAGGCACTCCGCAATCCGGGCGTGGGCTAGGCTGCTCGCGACGGCTGGGGCTGCTGCCGCCGCGGCGCCGGGCAAGGCTTGGGCTGCCGCTGCGGTCACGGTTGCGGCTGGGGCTGGTGGTGCAACGGCACGCGCGGCCGCGGCTGCTGCCGCGATGGTGGGCGCGCCCAGGGCTGCGGCTGTGGCTGCGGCTGCCGCCGGGGCTGCGGCGCTGGCGCCTCTGCGCTGGCGAGGGCGGCGACCGGTTGTCCCGGGAGGCAGAGCGCGGCCGGCGGCGGTGGCAGCGGGGCGAGGCCCGGCGGCCCTCACTGGAGCACAGGCGTGCCCCACCGCTGCTTGCACATTCAGAGGCGCCGGCGGCGCTGATAGGCGGCGCGACCGCAGGCGAGCTGGTTGACAGGCTGGGCCGCTGCCGCGCGTCCCGCTGCTGTGGCTGTTGCAGCTGCACTGGCGGCCCATTTGTAGGGCTGTGCACCTTCTCCTGCAGCTGTTGCTGCTGTTGTTGCTGTTGTTGCGGTTGCTGCTGTTGCTGCAGTTGCTGCAGTTGCTGCTGTTGCTGCTGTTGCTGCAGTTGCTGCTGTTGCTGCTGCTCTGGCTGTGCTACCAGCCGCAGCGATGGCTGCAGAACCAAATCTTGTGCTAACTGTTGTGGTAGTGGCTGCTGGGCTGGCCGGCGGGATGAATGCTGGGCTGGCTGTTCGATTGACTCGGACGGTGGTTGCTGCACCGCCTGCTGCACCGCCTGCTGCACTGGCTTGATAACTGGCTGCTGCGATTGCTGGTGGGTTGGCTGCTGGGTTGGCTGCTGCGCAGGCTGCTGCACCGGCTGCTGCGCCGGCTGCTGCGCCGGCTGCTGCGCCGGCTGCTGCGCCGGCTGCTGCGCCGGCTGCTGCGCCGGCTGCTGCGCCGGCTGCTGCGCCGGCTGCTGCGCCGGCTGCTGCGCTGGCTGCTGCGCCGGCTGCGGCACCGGCTGTGGCACCGGCTGCGGCACCTGCTGCGGCACCGGCTGCGGCACCTGCTTCTCCTGCTGCACCTGCTGCACCAGCTGCAGCCCGCCAGCAACCCGCAGCATCGCGGCCCGCTGCTCTGCTGAAAAGTCTATAGATAGCCGCCCTCGCAGCTGCCCCAACAGCTGATCCGCCTCGGCCCTCAGCGCCGCCGGCAGCCGCGACAAGCAAGCCTCCGCGGCCGCCGCGGCGTGCGGCGCCGGCGGCGCCGCGCGCAGGCGCGCGGCGGCGAGCGGGCGCAGCTGGTGCAGCGGCTTCCCCTGAGACAGCGAGGACAGGCGCTCCAAAAGGGCGTAGCTAGACCCAGATCCCAGTTGATCAGATCCCACCAAGATCTGGGCATTGCTCTGCGCCATATCTGCAACCTGCAATGGTGGGCGCGAGCGGGCAGAGCGCAAGGAGCCCCCTTGTCCACAACGCTCTCGCAGAATCGGTCAGCAGGAGGCAATGTGTGTCTCCGGCCGCCGCCTGTCACCAATCGGCACATGCTGTCAAATTTGAAGCTTGGCGGCACTGCAATGTTGGCGGGGTGCCTGCCGCCCCGCGGGGCCGGGGCGACGGGCACGTCTGCCCGCCGTGTTCGGACCCCGCGTGAGAATTACCACCACTTGACACAACCCCTTGACACCGTTTCCCGACTGATTGTAGGCAGCCAGCCGCTCACTCTGGATTCGGCGCCCCCCACTCCGCCCCTCTCCCTCCGTCTAATTTAAGTACCGCTCGGCGTGCCGCAAGACTCGCGGTAGCCGGCGCCACAAGCCTCACCTCCCCAGGCTGCAGCAGCGGCGCGCCGCCGCCCTCGGCCGCCTGCCGCGCCTGCAGCGCCCGCCAGGCGCGCGCCCACTCTTCCGAGCCATCGGGCAGCTCGTCTGAGAGGGCCTCCAGGGGGACGGCCTCGCCGCCGTGCTTCAGGAGCAGGTGGCTGCGCGCAAGGTTGACAATGCCTGTGGCCCCGCCGGCGGCGTGGCAGGTGGGCGTTCGGGCGCTTGCGGGGCGCTGGGTTGCGAGGTGGGCGAATTTGCATAAGAAAAGCGCCGCCTTCTGCCGTCACGGATGGAAGCAAACATCGCTCTCATAGAGAGGCAGCGGCACCATTTCCAGTTGGGCATGCACCCCGGCCCTGGCGGCATATGCATGCAGCCAAGCCTTTGCACTCTGCGGGGGAGTGGAGGCCTCCCCTAGGGGCAGGAGATCATGCCTGTGCGGGAAGATTGAGCAGAACCCACCGCACCTGCCGCGTCCAGCGCCGCCTGCGCGCCGAGCACCTGGGCGAGCGCAAGCCCGCCGCCCGCGCCGCGCATCGCGATGACGGCGCCGGCGATGCAGGCGTCGGGCGCGGGGCGCTCCCCGAGCTGGCACAGCCAGGCGCCGGCCTGCAGCAGGCGCGCGGCCTCGGGCCGCGACACGTGAAGCAGGCCCAAAAGCTGGGGGCGGCGGCGTGGGGGTTGGACGGGGTGGCGGTTTGGACGCGTGTCGCAGCAAGCGTGTGCGTGTGCTAGCGGTTGCGGTTGGTCATGAGGAGGTCCGCAGCCGCGGCAGGGGTGCACATGGGCGGCTGTTGAGACCCCAGCCTTTCTGGACCAGGGGGTTGACGAGGCGTCGTAGCAACACGAGCACGATGCCGTAATGCGAGCCTGTCTTCTCTGGCTTGCATGGCTTTTCAGGCACATGCGGCACGCAAGCGCAGTGACTGGGCATGCAATGATGCAACTGCATCGAATAGCAACGGTCGGTGCACTGTTGAACTGTAGGCAAGACGGGTGCGCGCCGGTGCGCGACGCAGCAACAGCCACGACTCACTTGGTCGACATCTTCAGGCATGATGATCCGAAATATTGAAGCGCGTTGAAGCCCGCGGGCTCCGCTAAATTGGTGCGTCAGTAACGCGCTGGATCAGGCCAGCGCACCATGATCCTGTAGCGCTGAACGCCTCCTTAACTAGATCCGACACATCGTGGCAGGCTGCGTTGCAGACAAGCAGGGGCTGGCGCGTGCATCGTGACTGCGCGGGCAGTGCCGCGGGCGGGTCCGCGTGACTAATCACGCACCCTGTTTGCGCAACTACTTCTCCGCAGTGCTGCCGAGCAGGGTATGCCATGGAATTTTCGTAAGCCCTTGTTTTACAGTGCTGCCGGCTGGGTGCTTCATAGCTCTGCGGGTGTCCACGGCGTAACGCACTGCCTGGATGGGTGACGGGCTACAGTACCTAGCCGCACTGCATGTGTGCGTGGCTAGCGCTAGGTGGGGAACTGTATCGTGGTCCTGAAAATCCAAGTAATTCTACAATGTGTCCACACACACTCAAAGTCTGCTGTCGAGCGTGGTGTAGCCGGCGACGCCGGCCGGCGAGCTTGCAGTACTGCGCTGCACGCACGCACTGCCCCTGCGATCGCCAAATTTAGCTCCACGTACTGCTCTAGGGAGTCGCCAATTTTACATGTTACACTTTACTTGTGAGAATATGTGTTGTGGGGCGGCAGGGAACCGGAATCCCATTTTGCAATGAACTCCTGTGCTTGTCAAGACTGTATTAAATGTTTGCCAGGGCGCCGAGTGCAGCTCTGCAGAAAGTGTCTATCTGGTAAAGACGTGTCTGCAGGCAGACCTTGCTGTAATTTGCATGTAGCAAAGTCAGCCGCTCCTCAGCCAGGTGGGTTTCAGCGACCCGGGTAAAAATGGGTATTCTGTGCTGTGCCCAACTTTTAGTGGGTAGGGCTTGATGATGACCAGCCGTTTGATTCGAGTTCACGTTGTCTGCAAACACACAGCAAGCAGACCTTCATGTTGTGCAGGGCAGGGTCCTGATATATGCAGGGCGGGTCACCAGCCTGTTTGCACGTTCTTTGTTTTGTAGTAGGTGTGTGCGGCACACAGCATCGGATACACCAACGTGCGTGCTATTGCATTACAAGTCGCAGTGGCCTGCAAAGGGAATGGTGCTGATGCAAGTGGCATGGTTGCACCAATGTGCACCCTTTTTTGGACCAATGGAATTGATGCTGCTCCATGCATGAAAAAAGGCGGCTGCATCACTTGAAAAGAGGCGCCTGCCTGCTGGTGCACTTGAATATCAAATCATACCCGAGGCAGCAGCGAAGGTATGTGAGCTGTCATTCTTAGTCGTTGATAGCATGCTGCTGCGCTGCCATGCAGAGATTGCATCCAAATTTGCAGGCGTCTCACATTATTGTTCTTCCAGAAAACGGCCAAAATGGATGCAAACATCCCTGAAGAGCAGAATGTATTTTTCTTTTTTTTTTTGTTTGGTACAAGTATATCAGCTTCTTGGCCGCAACTCCGTCCATTCCTCATGCATGAGCGCTGGGACGAATCCCAAAAACCCCTTGACCACACCCGTTGCTCTGCATCTGATTGAAGTTACGCAAGTCATCATGCCACCCCACATGCACACAATGCGATAAAAAAGGGCAAGTGGCTGGTGAGATGTCGCAGCTTTGTATGTATGCAACGCCACCTTAGAGTTGGTGACTTGTGAGAGCTAACAACAGTCAAATTGAGAGAGAGCGAGAGAGAGAGGGAGAGAGAGACTACGCCTCACGCGGCTAAAAGCCACGCTGTAAGCGGCGCCGCGTCGGGTTAAGGAGAGGGGTGTGTGTGGTGAGCCACATCCCCCACCGTGAAGACCGAAGGGCACGTTCACGTGACGCCGCGCCCCCGACGTGGCCGTGACGGCGGGCAGTTGTTTGCATGCAGCAATTGCTTTCGGCGGCCCCAGACAGCTGTCATGCTCTCCACCGCGTGCAGGCTGAGGTGCTTGAACAAAGCCTTGTGTTCCTCTTTGGGTATCCCTAGATAGGTCAGCCGCTGTCGTGATCATGCCTGCGTAGATTGTGCCCCCCACACCCAGTGTAGTCACATGGAGGTGGACCTGCCGCCGCGCCCTCTGCAGTTCTGCAATGAGTGCGGCGTGCTGTGCGGTGGCCGCTGCAATTGTTGGGTCTTGGTTTGTGTCCCTGCAGTACTTGATTTCCACAATATGGATGTGTTCCGTCGATCCTCTGCCTGCTGCCGGTACGTGCAGAATGATGTCGGGAACGCTGTACGTGCCTGCATCTTTCAGGCGCCGTTTCTGTGCGGGTGTCAGGATGGAGCACTTGTCGAAGGTGCAGCGGTGCATCACCCTTTCCTCTTTGCAGTTTTCTGCTGACCCCAGGTCTGCACACTAAATGCAGCCGCCCATCGCGCCACCCTCTATCGCGGCAAGGATTATCCTCCCTGCACGGTGGTGGCGAGAGGTGTGCTGCGCGGTCAGCGCCGGGCATGAAAGCATGGTATGCCCAGCAGTCTCGTCCGGGTCTCCGCACAGGCGGCAAGCCGTGCTTTTGCACTTTCCCCACTTGTGCAGGTTGTGCATGGTGGGGACCTGGCCGCACCTCCACCGCAGGCACAGCCTCAGTTCGCGCGGCAACACGGTGCCCCACTTCTGAAGATAGTGCCAGGCTGCGGGGTGCAGGCTGGGTGCAGTCTCGCGTTCCAGCCGCATGTACAGCGAATTGAGGTTGGCCCCCAGCGTCTCGTGCATGTTGCAGGCCAGGGGCTCCAGCGCTTCAACCAGATTGGCCATAATCCGCCTTTTGGGACGGCGGCGCTTGCCGCCTGCCCCTTGTGGCTGAGCTGTCTCGTCTGCCGATTCAGATGTATACCGCCACCACTGGCCGCCGCGGCGGTCATTGCTAGGAGGGACAGTGAGTCCTGGCTCTCCTAGTGCAGATGCCAGGTTCTCTGTTTTGGTCTCTTTCACCACTCCTGTAGCGATGGCGTCGGCTCTTTCGTTGCCGGTGATGCCCACGTGGGCAGGCACTTTTAGGAGCGCGACTGGCGGCGCCTCTGGGGGCCGTCTCGCGATGGCGTCTCTGATTGCTGTGATGAGTGTGAGGTGGCGATGACCGTCCAGATCTATCTTGCGGCCTGTGTACCATTTTGTGAATCTGGTAGATACAGCCTAAGCTGTCACTGGCAATGCGGCTGTGCCCTGCCATGATTGCTGCCCATATGACGCTCAGTTCTGCTCTGTTGATGGTGTTGTTCTCAGGCTGCGCGGGGTCCCGCAGGTCAATTGCTATGTCTTGTTGCTGCCCCACCCCCAGTGGCGCTGGAATGTGGACGCCCACGCCCATCGCAATGGTTTTGCCTTCAGCCTTCCTGTGGCGAGAGGCGCCTTGCCCTGTCTCCTTCAGCACGCTCCCATCAGTGTAGACTAGGGAGTCAGCGTCATACGCCAGGTGCTGGGGCGGGTCAAGGGCTTTTCCCAGGGCATGGATGTGCCCCTCTCCCAGGTGTGCGGGGCGCTGGCTTTCGCTCCTCGCGGTGTCCGGCCTCATGCGTGCCACGCCTTTTCCTGGCATGGTGTGTTGCCCTGAGGGCGGTCCCTACCTGCCGCGGGGCCTGCGTGCACGTGGGCTTCTGAGCCTCTATGTCCCAGGCGCGGCCTCCTCGGGAGCCTTGCAGAGGCGGCGTGGTGTTGAGGCGGCGTGTCACGCGCGTTGAGGGCCCCGGAGTGTTGGGCTCCGCCCAGCTGCCCGCCTGGCAGCTGGGCGGGTGCGTTGCCCGGTATTTGGCCCTGCGCTCGTGCCGGCAGTGTGGCTGCCGGCTCTCTCATCGGCTCTGTGGTACCCTTAGGCGGTCCAGCCCCGCCAAGGCTGGGCCCAGGCCGCTGTAAGCTCCCACATCCCGAGGTCACCTATGGCAGCCCTGGTGCCCGCTTGCCCGACGGGTGCCAGTAGCAGAGGGCCCCTCGCACATGCTTAGAGATGGATGGACACAGCAGCACTGGCAGCTTTGCGCAAAGGCAGCAAGCTTGGGCCGAGCAAGAGCAGCACAGGCTCGGCCCCAGCGGGCCTCACTCTGAGCCGGCAGCCAATGTGGCGTGCATGCACCAGCTACGCCGCGACAGCCGTGACCAGTCCGGGCGCCCAATGCCCAGGGGCGCTGGCTGGGCGCGACAGGCGCGGCCACGCTCATCCCTGGGGCTGAGAGTGCCTGGACTGACACGCGCCCGTAAGCCCAAGCTCTAGCAGCAGAAGGGCCCCGTTCGGGAGTCCTTTGCTGGGCGGTGACCGTCCTAAGCACACTCACCTGCCACTGCCCGATGCGACTGCCGGTGGTCTCAGGCGTGGCGCCGCTGTCTGCTGACTGGAGCGCGAGCCTCGAGCTGGTGCTGGTGCTGGTGCTGCTGGAAGCGGTGCTGCCAAAGCACTTTGAGTGCTTCAAGTGAGGTGTTGGGCGAGTGCAGTTGGGCGCCAAACGCATGCGAGCGTGGGCCGCTTGCGCGATGACAGGGGGGTTGATCGTGTGTTGAAAGGCAGGCAGACGGGGTGTTTGCTGGCGAGCGTGCTGCAGCAGCCAGTGGCGACGCTTGCGGGGTCGCTGCGCATGCAGTGGCCGTCCCACTCGTCGCTCCACAGCTCATGATTGACCGCTTTGACCTTCACTGCCGCAGGTCCTTTGTCGCCTGGCGGGACACGCCCCAAAACGCGGTGCTGCAGACGCTGCTGCAGGGCGTGAGGGACAGCTGGCGGCCGCCACAGCCGGCCGCCACAGCCGCGCGACGTAGAGGATCAGACTCGGAGAGGATCAGACTCATTGCTGTGTGTGCGAGCTCTTGTGTTGTGGCGCGCACGCGCAGGATATCTCACTTGGAGTGTGCCAGCGCAATTTGTGAGTGATTTCGTGCGCATTCACTTGTCCAGATTGTTCAAGGCTCGTGCTGTATCTTGTGACAGTCTTGAGGGTGAAAAAGTAATGCGTGTTATCCACTCGTGGCACCAAGCACGCATGCTTACATATGTTTATGGAGTTCACGCACGCAGGCACAATGCAGGTAGGGCGTAGTCCTGCTGTTGCAGGTTCGTGACATGCGTACGTGCTTGCTTGCGTGTGCACACAGCAACAAGGCAGGGGCCACTCAGCAGACGGCGCCCACACAACCCTGGGCATACACATGCACGCCCGTGGATGGGTACTAGGGCAGCTGCCGCGTGCTACATTGTCGCGTGTAGCATTGTTGTATTGACGCGTCATTGATCGTGCAAATGAACCTGCTCAATCAATTGTGCAGAATGTGCCAGTTCGAGTTGACACCAGAGGCCGAGCGAGCTGTGGCCGGAACCCACCCAGCAGCGCGCCCGCACGCGTGCTGCATCGAAGGGGAACTCATGGTTGTACGCACGTGCCACCAACTTCCAACACGCAAGGGCCGTATGCAAGCATAAAGATGGATACGGATTACCATCAGGATTGTTACAAGATCCCGCGGTCCCCCGCTCCTGGAGCCATCCAGGCTCATGGCATGTATCATGGCGAACAAGGGAACAGGGCCGCAGCAGCAATGCCACCTTCACGCCAAGCAGAAAGGCAAGCACCACTTAATTTTCCATCAGCAGTTGGTCCTTTGCACCACATTTCCGTTCGGTCTGGGCGCCCGCGCGCCGCGGGGCAGCAAGATGGCATGGGCAACAAAGTAGCCGGGCAGCAAGTGCAGCTTGATGCATATGCAAGACTTTATGCGCATACATTTAGTGGCGGCTGCATAGGAAATGTTGAGCACGCGGGCGCGCCGTACGTGGGTGTGAGGCAGCGCCTGGCTGACCGCGGTTGAATGAGAATATCACGCCACACATTAACCCATCTGACACTCAGGGCCGGCGGCTGGGGCCTGTGCACTGCAAGCGCGTGCCTGGAAATGAGAAGCACCGTTATAAGTCTTGATTAGATGCCTCACAAATACAAGTCTTGATTAGATGCCTCACAATTGGACGGATTGCAAGCGTCTTGGTTCCTTTTGCATGTATACGCGCTTATCCAAGGCCCGCCAGGCAAGTAAGATACCCCTCTGAAATCTCAACTGGCTTCAAAATTGTGCTTGCGATGGGAGCCAAACAGGCAAGGAAGCAACACGATGGCAAGCTCCATAGTGTTCAGCTGTGTTCAGCTGAATGTGAGGCGAGGTCATCAGGGCTTGGCGGTCAGGGAGAGCCCGCTTGCGACGTTGCCGGCGTTGTCGCGGGCGCACAGCCTGAACTTGTGCTTCGAGACATCAGCTGAGGGGATTGCCAGGGACGCTGTGCCAGTCTTGCCGTCGCTTGAGATTGAGAGAGGCAGGGCCGTGCCGGAGGTGCACTTGGCCTTGGGCTTGCCCGCGGCAAGGAACACAAGCACATAGTCCTTCACGCCCGAGCCCTTGACGGAGCGCTTGTCGTCAGTGGCAGCGGCTGTGAAGGTGACGGTGTAGTTGCCGCCAGCATACTTTCCGGCCAGCTGGATGCTCTTTGCGGCCATTGAGGGAGGTGTCTTGTCATACAGCACAGACGTGGTGCCAGGGCCCCAAGGCGTCTTGTCGGCCTTGGAGTCGCGGAAGTAGGCGGTGATGGTGCGTTGGCCCTCGCTGGTGAGCTTGAGGGTCTTCTTGTCCGCCTTGGCCTCCCATTTGGGACACTTGGCTCCTGAGGTGATTGGCTTGTCCGTGATGCACCTGTTGTGAGTATGCGGGGCAAGGAATTTGGCCATATGCAAAGCATTGCAAACCAGACAGGCTTGAAGCCGCAGACAACGGAGGCGGGGATGAAAATATGCTTGCGTGTCGTTGCTAGGACTTTTCCAGGTTGCTTGTGAAGGGAGGCTTCAGCGCATGTGCTAATCAGCCCTCAGTTACAAGCAACTTGCCTGTAGTACAAGCAGGTTGCTTGGCTGGCAAGTTCGTACAAGTGCGTGCAGCAGATATGTGTGCTGGGCTCACATCTCTTTGGCATTGGCCGTGACAACCAGGTCCACTGTCGGCTGGTTGACGATGCTCATGGAGGGGGTGGCCACACTCAGCAGGCCAGCCTTGGCATCCAGCTCTACCGTGGCGGTTCCGGGAGTGGCAGAGGTGGAGTTTGCTGCGTCGCGAATGAAGACAAACACGGTCTTGGGGCCGTTGCCAGCCGGCAGGATGTAATCTGTCGGGCTCTTGTAGGGCACAAAGGTCGTGCATGCCGCGGTGTCAGAAATGCACCTGGATGTGGGGTCGACACGTTGTGGTTTGGATAAGAATGGGCCAGACGGATAGGTCGTGGCCTTAGTAAGTTCAAGGATGGATCAGACAAGCGTGTTTTTGTGTGTGAATTTCAAAACACAAACAACATTGCATGCGGCGGCGGTGCGGTGCTGTGTGCGCAATCACCGGGAGAAATTCTCAGCGACAGCCACAGCGCTGCGTTCACGCATTCAACGCCATCAGAAATGTTGCGACAAAGGGCCTTGGCGATCCTGAACCTAGTTGCAGCTTTTGTGCTTAGATGTACTCCAGGCTGGGTCAAGCAAGCTGGCTGGCCAAAGCATTCCTGCCACCACAAGGCCCGGGGGGGCCTGCACAGCTCGCACCAATCCCCCCCCCCCAGACTCACATTGAAGCAGCGGACGGCGTGATCGTAAGAGAGACGAGTTGCAGGGGCACCTTGGGCGGCTTGGATACCAGGCCCTGGCTGATGATGACAGTGGGTGGCACCCCCAGCACAGTGGCTCCGTCAACAGCCACCTGAATGCGCTGTGTAGCTGGGATACCGGTCGCCAGGGTCACAGTGTTTCCATTTTTCACGTACGCATCCAGGGTGACGGTGCCAAGCAGCTGGCGCCTCCCAGCTGCAAGGAGCTGCCTCCTGCGCCTGCCAGAGTCGGTGATCTGCGGGACAGGGAGCAGAGAGGGGGCTTGGCATACCGCACTTGAACATGTTGCATGTGCGTATTGGGATGCGAGACAAAGCCAGCCGACCACGCGTCCTAAGGAATGGGATGATTCACCATGACTGATGCGTAATACTGTGCGATATGACAGGCCCGCGCACACCTTGAAAATGATGTAAAGCGCGGTGCCATTGCTGGCAGGTGCAGAACTCCTTGCCACCAACTGGTTGGCGACCTCCAGAGCCTTTTGAGCATCTCCGCTACAGATTTGCAGCAAATGACATGCACAGAATTGGCAGGAGCAAAAGGGTTGCACATTGGCATGCGGTTGGCTGGGTGGAGCGTTGAATCGCGCATATCATACTACTGCTGCACAGGTGAGAGCAGCACCAGCATCGCTCGACATGCATTTGTACTGACACGTTGTTGCATCACGGCTGTCCGTGCGAGGCAAAAACGAGTGCTTTCTAGCAGAGTTAGGACAGCAGAATACACTGTACTCACTACCAGGGCGCCGCCACCAGCAGTCGCCTTGTGTCAGGGTCGGAGGGCGTCGCCTGTTCCGTGGCAATTTGCACTACTTGCCCTGCCACCAGCACAGTGCCGGCATCCACCTAGACACGCACGTTGTTTATTGAAGGAGGGGGGCTTGCAGGAGTTCAGCTCAAGAAGGTGCCCGCATGTCAGCTTGCTTGGCTTTTTACGTTCACGCATAGTCTCGTGTTGACCTGCATGCGGGTGACACATGGCAACTTGCAGGGTCATGCATCAAACGCATGCACATAATCAACTTTCATGAAGTCCACAGGTAATGTGAACATGCAGCACTCAAAACTTGCTGCCGTGTGCGAACCCTGTGCACTTACTGGCGTGGAGGGTGGATCTGCATGCGGGTAATTTCCACCGCAGCAACAAAGGCACAACCATGAGGGAAGTGTTGGTGGGGAAGGCACTGGTGTCAGCAACGGGCACACGTTGCAAGTAGACCATGCCTTCGCATGTATCACACCCAGCGGATTTGGGGATGTGCTGTGTGTGCATCCGCGCACCCCCGCTGGCAGCAACTCCAGGTCACGCTGCCCTGATGATCGCCTCCGAAGACCAAGCGCGCCGTGCTTTGGACGATACATGTGAATGCGCAGCATTGCACCTCTACCCCGTATTGAGGGATCACGGGTGGCGACAAAATCACATGCAGCACATGACAGGGCATTTCTGAGCTGCTGACTTCTCCTGCTGTGTGTGTTGCAAGCACGATGTTGAGATGCTGTGCGGGCACCGCTCAGCGTCCTGCTGGAAGAGCAGTGAGTCACTGGTCATCACCTGTGCAGCCAGTCCCAGACGCCGTGCCATCACCGCGCAGGCCACTGGCGCAGCTGCACGTGACGCCTTTTGTGGTGGTGTTGACGCTGCAGGTTGCCCGGGGGGCGCACGTGACGTTCTGTGCAGCCGTGCACACCGACGACACAACGGGAGCTGCAAGATTGATTGGAAGCAGCAAAGATGGCACACAGGTAAGCAGGATGGAAGTTCTGGAAGCTATCTGCAATGTTTTTAGTTGGAACAAGCCACAAACAAAACCCTTAGATCACGGACCAGCCAGAATGACAGAGCCGCAGTAGGGTCCCTAGGGCGTGGCAATCTGCTGCGACGGCGTTGCGGCTGCAGTATCCCGCTGCGCTGTGGTGCAGGCGTCATGATGATGTCATGCACAAGGCAGGGCGACAACAAGTAAGTCCAGCTTGTGAAAGCCAGATGCAACACAAGGTGATCTGGATTAATCGTGATTTCCGCACCTTTGCAACCAGTCCCAGCCGCCTTGCCATCACCATCTTGCCCACTGGGGCACTTGCACGTGACTGCGCCAGTAGTAGTGTTGACGCTGCAGATTGCCAGGGGGACGCACGTGGCGTTCTGTGCGGCCGTGCACACTGATGAAACAACGGGAGCTGCGAGGCAGTGGTGCAAGCAGTGGAGCCGGCGGACAGGTCAGCAGCAACAAAATTTCAAGAAATTCGGCAATCCATATGTGTTTTTGGGGCAGAACCCACACAGACACCCATGCTGCAGGGAGCAGCCACAAAGGCAGAGCCGCTTCAGGGGTGCTCTATCTGTGTGTAGTATGCTTGGCACTGTGCTGCGACGGCGGTGCAACCACAGCACCTAACTGTATCACGGTTGGTGCAGCGCGCCATGATGATGTCATCCATGAGGTAGGGAGGCAACAAACAAGCTCAGCAGATCGTACCAAAAGGTAACTCGTGCCAATCAGCAACTCCTGATTCCCGCACCTTTGCAACCAGTCCCAGCCGCCTTGCCATCACCATCTTGCCCGCTGGGGCACTTGCACGTGACTGCGCCAGTAGTAGTGTTGACGCTGCAGATCGCCAGGGGGACGCATGTGGCGTTCTGTGCGGCCGTGCACACTGAGGAAGCTGCGAGATCAAAAGCATTGTCATCAGAGCTTGTCAAAAGGTCGTCCCAGTATATATGCGCGGCTGCTGGGCAGTCGTCAAGTGCTTTTGCCAGTGGTTGCAAAGAGGGGCGTGGTAAAAAAGTGGGGCGAGCGAGTGTAACTGTCCATTTTGGCAGAGTCACTCGCTTGTGGTCATTGCTGGCCAGGTAAACACATGCATATCCTTACTGCAGGGCACCTGAGGGGCAATGAATCAACAGCAGGCGTGCAGTCAACACTGCAGCCATAGAAGGGGCGCGCTTGCATGCCACCCCACCCCCTCACCGCTTCCTCCAGTGATTGAAAAAGCGCTCTGCTTGACACAGCCTAAACGAATGCATGGAATGGGGGGAATAGTCGACTTTGATCTGGAACAGTGTACCCTCAGCAAGGTGATGCCCCCCAGCAGCGTTCAGGCCTTCAAGCAATTGGAGTGGAGACTCGAGGCCGCGCATGATCATGCACAAGCCCAACCAGAGTGTCCAGACCGGGGCGCACAGGCATGCAACAATGTATAGGAGTGTGGTGCATGCCATGTGGGTATGGCACCACCAATACTACTGTTAGGGTAGCCCAGAATCTGACAGCTGTGCGGACTCAGGCGCATGCGTATATCGAGGTGCATGCGGCGATGAGCGACTGGCTGTGCTATGCTTGAGTGCGAGGCTGTGATGCTGGGCTGCCAATGAACTGTGTGCGCATTTGTGTAAACACACTGCAGAGTCATTGCATGAGCCAGCAATGTTGAGCGTGTTCAAGTCAAAAACTGCAAAACCATTTGCATGATGTCTTAACGCCCCTGGCATACGACAAGCCCTAACGATGCTGCGGGCGGATGTGTGCCGTCGACCCATGTCACACCTACCGTTCCTGGTTGCAGTCGCTGTCAAGTTGGTCGTGCCTGCGGGCAGGCCAGTGCAGTTGAACGTGGCGTCTGCGTTGAGCACACACCCAGGCCGATCAAATTGCACGTCAGAAGTGAGGTATTTCCCAAGGTCCACTGACACTTGAGCAGAACCGGCTGCTCCACCAGGGAGGTAAGGGCCAGCGGTTGCGCCAAGGGTGTAGGTTGAACAATCTGCAAGGTGGAGTGTTGGCGGATCGGGAAGGGCCTGCTTAGCATGGATAAGCACCTGGGTGAAATTTAGGCGTGGAATCAAAAGGGCGATGTGTGGCACATCAATTGCTTTGTTGCTAGCTGGTTGCTTGCATCCGTAGCTGTCAAGTTCTGCTCACACCAGCAGCCTGCACCTTGCCAGGACAAACAGTGAGCGCAGGCCCAGGGTGTCCTGTTGTTGGCCCAAAGCTAGCTGCTGTGCATCAAGGTGTTTTGACTGCTGCAGGATGGCTACAGAGTCACGATCGTGGTCTCAACAGGCACGCAATGCGCTGTCCACATCGTTTATCACCCTTTGGTCCGGTCACGTTGAACTCAAGGAACACCGACTTCCGGCAGCCTGCAAGAGGTTGGCAGCGCGGTCAAGCAAGGGGTTGGTTGGTAAAAAGCATGGCTGAGAAGCATTAGTGCAGGAGAGCCGCTAGGCATCATCTGCCGGAGGATCAGGGCCAATATTATCAGGGTTGCTGCTGCGAAACCAAGCGAGCGCACTGCTGTGGTTGCTTGCTGCATGCTGTTCAAGCTTCTTTGTCAGGTGCCGAGATTGCTGGTAGCAACCGATCCTCACCACGCAACATAAACACCTCAGATGCACGCTCACCGTTTTTCAGGCCACTGAATTGCACGAAGCTGTCGAGGCCGGGTCGCAGGTTACCGCAAGTCCAAGTTGTGCCCGCCTTGTACCTGCACTCCAAACCATCATTAAAATCATCAATCGTGATATCGCCCTTGGTGTAGTTGGCCACTTGCAACGTTACGTCAGCTGAGCCCCGTCCGTTTGCGCCAGGCGCGACAGCAATGACGTCCACCGGGCCGGTCAATGTGTAGGCGGTGCATGCTGCCGCGAAGAGCAAGTGGATTGAGTGGGGCGTTGACCCAGGTGGCGTTAGTGGAGGTGGCACTGGCAGGTGCAGCTTGTAGCTGCACAGTCAAGTTTATCTGGGTTTGAACACCCTTGGGCCCAATGTGATGGACTGGACAATCCAATCTGGTTGCCACACAAGAGCAAAACATTCAGATATACTTGCATTGCACACGAGTGCAACATGTGTTGATTCCCTCATTCCTTGGCCCAATTGTACTTTGATTCAGTGTTGTCTTTCAAACTTGGTGCAAACGCTTGGCTCAGTACAACACTCGTAAATAGTTGCAACAGGCATGCTGACACCCTTTACCTGAATCTGGCAGCACCACAACAAGCGTTGAGCTGGATTTTCTTGTGCAGCCTGCGGCCGAGGTACCGAGTGGGGTTCTCCAAGGTGCTGATGGGTACAAGTAAGGAACGATGGGGGCAGGGACCACTGCACACCACCGTGCCCGCTTCATTGTGTAAGCAGGTCGTCGCTGCACACTCACCATTCTTGGTGGCGGTGAAGTTGACGACTGTGATGCCCACTGGCACACCAATGCACCTAAAACACACGAATTGGCTACCACTGATACCGCCGGTACAGGTTGCGGAGGAGCAGTAAGGCGAATCAACGCTGACGCTGGCAGCGGTGTACTCTCCAACAATCGTCAGGACGTTGAAATCCCCAAGGCTAGAAACAGAATCCACTGTTGTTTCGCCTGAAAAGCTGTTCAACTTGTAAGGAAAGCATCCTGTGCGGTGGGGCAGCC